AAAAAAAAAAAAAAAAAATGTACCAAGAAAAAAAAAATCCTTATGTTCGATCGATGTACTAGTTAGAAGTCTAAAATTGCAATATAATGAATATAATCTTCTCGATTATATATTTTCAAAATTAACCATATGCATGCTACAAAGCTTGAAAAGATTGCACGAAGCCCTTTTGTGATATTCGATACTTTCGATTTTGAAGATATCAACGAATGTGCGGACCCGAACCTGCACGACTGTGAAGGGATGTGCATAAATACACCGGGAAGTTACAACTGTTCTTGTCCGCACGGCCAATTTGGGGACGGTAGAAGGCACGGCCGGGGTTGCAATGACCTTAACTCAGAGTTTCCTGTAATAAAGGTGGCTTTAGGTAATTTCTTTGTTTTTTCCTTAATCAATCACCATAATATGTAACTAAATTCATTAGTGTAATGGTTAAATTTTCATTTTCTAAAATCATTTTCATTAAAATTTTCGCAAAATAGGTATCGGGTTCGGGTTTTTATCGCTCGTCGTAGCAGCAACCTGGTTGTACTTCACACTCAAGAAGCGTAAACTCGTAAAACTTCGCGAGAAATTTTTCCAACAAAACGGGGGCTTGTTGCTAAAGCAGCAAATGATCAGCTCTTCTGTCGAGGGCTCGGCCGTGGACGTGAAAAGAATATTCACGGCCGACGAGCTCGAGAAAGCCACCGACGGCTATTCGGATGAGAGGATCTTAGGTCGCGGTGGCTACGGTACGGTGTACAAAGGCATTCTACACGACAAGCGCGTGGTGGCCATCAAGAAGTCCCGAGTCATGGACGAGAGCCAAATTGAGCAGTTCATCAACGAAGTCGTGATACTCACCCAAGTCAACCACCGGAACGTGGTCAAACTCCTCGGTTGCTGCCTAGAATCCGAGGTGCCTCTGCTCGTGTACGAGTTCGTCTCGCACGGCACGCTCTACGAGCAAATACACGGCCCGGGGCCAGCTGCCTGGCTGTCCTGGGATAACCGCCTCAGGTATGTTATTGATATCACAAATTCTTGTGTGAGTCGGTATGATCGTTAGGGCCCATCGACATGTCATACTATATGAAAATCAAACGATGTCACAAATTTTTGTGTGAGACAATCAAACTGAGTACTCTATGAAAATCAAAGGATATCATAAATTTTTGTATGAGACAGTCTAACCGTTAGACACATCGACACTATGAAAATCAAATGTATAATTCAGTCATATTTTTGCTTGTTTATGTTGTTTTATAAAGTATGACATTTTTTCTGATGAAAAACACAATTTCGTAAAATCAGGATCGCCTGTGAGGCTGCCGGAGCCCTCTCGTACCTCCACTCGGCGGCGGCCGTCCCAGTCATCCACAGGGACGTGAAGTCGGCAAACATCCTTCTCGACGAGCACTACACGGCCAAAATATCCGATTTTGGGGCCTCCCGACTCATCAACCTGGACCAGACGGAGGTCACGACTCTGGTCCAGGGCACGCTGGGCTACCTCGACCCGGAGTACTTCCGGACGAGCCAGCTCACCGAGAAGAGCGACGTCTACAGCTTCGGGGTCGTGCTGGTCGAGCTCCTCACGGGCCGTAAGCCCATCGATATGGGCCGGGCCCAAGAGGAGCGGAACCTCACAACCCACTTCATCATGGCGGTGAAGGAGAATCGACTCTTTCAAGTGCTCGAGCCGCGGGTCGTGAGGGAAGGCCCGCTCGAGCAGCTGCAGGCGGCCGCCGAGCTCGTGATGGGGTGCCTGCGGCTGAGCTCGGAGGACCGGCCGACGATGAAGGAGGTGGCAATGGAGCTCGAGGGGTTGAGGAGGTTCACGAGGCATCCGTGGGCCCAACAGCAGCAGGTTCGGGAAGAGGAGGCTGTGGGGTTGATGGGCGAGGTTGGTGGGTTGGGGGATCTTTATGGTCCCGGCCCGATTGGTTTGGACGATCTGTATACGGTTCCATTTAGTGCGTACAATAGCACCGGGGATTTTTCCGGGCAGTACAGCCCGAGTGAGGCTATTTTTCCTCGGGTGAATAGCCCACGTTGAGGAAGCCAGCTTTGCTGTGTTTTGGCCTTTTGGGTGTGTTGAATTGAATGGCCGTCTGTTGCGTGGGATCATATTTGATGGGATTCATTTTTGTGAGGTAATTTGTATAATTTGGGGATGAACGACGACTTGATATACCAACCAAAAATGAGACAAATAAGAACTTGTGTTTTGTTTTAATAAATGTTTTGTTTCTATTTTCACTTATAGTTTTATTTATTTATTATTTTTTTGGGGTCTCACACAAAAGTGCACCCTTTGTAGCGTCTCGATTGTGCAATGATATTTCAGTTTGGTTTTTTAAGTTATTGGCCTAGGATAGGATTAGGGCTGCAAACGAGCCGAGTCGAGTCGAACATTGACCTTATCGAGCGGATTGAATTTTTTTTTAAGGTGCTCGAGCTCGAGCTCGTCGAGCTCGATTTTTGGTGCTCGAGCTCGATTCGATCAAAACATACAAGAGCTCGAGCTCGACTCGAGCTCGACTCGAATTCATAATGCTCGAGCTCGGTTCGAGTTCGGCTCGAATTTTTTCAAGAAATTTTGTAAAATAACTATTAATTACATATATATACAAGAGTATTTTAGTAATTTCACATATCTCGACAATGCAATATATGGGCTCGAGCTCGACTCGAGTTCGTGCTCGAGCCGCTCGAGCTCGACTCGAGATCGGTCAAACTCGAGCTCGAGTCGAGCTTTGACTCGAGCACTCACGAGCGGCTCGCGAACTGCTCGACTCGTTTGTAGCCCTAGATAGGATACAGCCTTAAGTCTGGAAATAGAAGAGTTACTGAGGATAATTTATTGGGAATGTCTATTGCTCTGGACTTGTTTTTGTGTTGGTGCATTATCTTACTACTTTTTGTTAGCCGGCCTGTGCTTTGTTTTGTTGATGTACAGTGGGCCTTTGATTATTGACTGATATATATTCTTTCGGTTGAAAAAAAAAAATTACTTTTTGTGACTTCTGAAATAATATTATCAAATAAATTAAAAAATAAGCATATTATTTAATAACTAAAATAATATGACTCGTAATTATAAAATTTTTTAACTTTGAAATGATAAAATATATTAATTAAATATGAAAATATCATATACTACTATACAACACTAATGAACACTGCAACATTACAATTAAATTCAAACTATATCAGTCATACTTTAGAGACATACTTGTTGGTAGTCAAGCCGAGAACGGACTCCTAGAAGAAATATCCAAAAGGCTAATAGGTCGGATATTCGACCAAATTAGGAAATACTCCACTCAAAGAAGAATAGATCCCGTTCTTAAAAACAAAGACGTCAAATGAAGAAATTGAATTTTGCGAAGACCAGGATGTATATAATTGTATACCACAAAATAAATGTCACTTGTCATACCACTGATTATCAGATGAGATTGTAAACTATCTATATGTTGGTACACGCATCAGCTGGCCAACTCATGGATGCTTAGGGATTCTCATCGCATTAACTCCATCATAAATGTCGGTGTACTTCTAAATGTAATTAGGAGAGTCGTATTACATTATGAACAATTTTCTATTGTACTACACTATAAATAGCTCTAGAATTTTAAAGGCAATGATTATCGATGGCACTGTAAACCACCTTGATGATACAAGAATTACCTGACGTTAGTCAGAGGACACGTGGCGACGATTGATGCTCCGACGTCTCCCTGGACTCGTCTCCTTTGCTCCAACGCCTGCAAAACAGAACCCCGGGGTTGTCCCCAGGGGTAGATCCTCCGATGCCTAAGTTAGAATAGGTTTTTGGTTTTCTGGGATGGTGGCTGCGGAATGAGTAGAAGAGAGAGTTTGGAGAGTTGAGAATGTGTCTTACCTTGACCTAGGTCATCCTTTTATAGGAGTCAGGCGACCTAGGTCTTCCTTCCGCAGGCGGAGGACTCCCTGGCCCATAAGCTTCGTGGGTTGCCCTCAGACTTTGGCCCAAAGTAAAGCTCCTCTGGACCTTGGGCTTATAGTAATTCTCCTCAGGACATTGGGCTCAGAGTAAAGCTCTTTGGGACCTTGGGCCTGAATTGGGGTTGAGCTTCGGCCTTAATCCTGGACTCTAAGAGTCCTCGGATCACACGTGTCTTCATCCTCTCGAGCCACGTGTCGTATAATAAATGTATATTTTTTCCCTTATCACTTGCCCCCTATTTTATGTACGCATTAATTTTTATGCGGACAAAAAATAAGCGATGAGACGTTTACAGATGAATATCTGCAGTGGGCGAGTTTTCAGTACAGTTGTACAGACAGACAGTCCAGCTGCTTGTTATAAGATTTCTCACTCTCATTTCTCTTCTCACTTTTCACATTGTTACTTTCTAGAGAGAGAGATATATAGAGAGAGGGAAAGAATCAAGCTCTTGGGATTGCATCGATTTTTCAAGCTCGACGTCGGCATTCGAAAGTCCTCAGACCCTGGTAATTTTTTCTTACCATGTCCTTATTTCTTCAAGTCTTCAGTAGCTAGTCATTATTTACCGACGTCAGTAGCGTTGACATTTTCCTTAAGCAACATCGACAGCAATAATTTGGACATATACTTCACTTCGGTAGGTCGAAGAGTTACTTTGTAGACCTCGGTAGTCCGAGGACTAATGTTTAGGACACCTCGGTAGGCCGAGGAGCTTCTTCGGAGACCTCAGTGGTCCGAGGACTAATTTTTCGAACACTTTGGTAAGCCAAGGAGCTTTGTCGTAGACCTCGGTAGTCCGAGGACTAATTTTTTGAATACCTCGGTAGGCCGAGAGGCTTCTTGGTAGTCCCCGGTAGTCCGAGGATTAATTTTTTGAATACCTCGGTAGGCCGAGAGGCATCTTGGTAGTCCCTGGTAGTCCGAGGACTAATTTTTTAAACACCTCGGTAGGCCGAGGGTCTTCTTGGTAGTCCTCGGTAGTCCGAGGACTAATTTTTTAAACATCTCGGTAGGTCGAGGGTCTTCTTGGTAGTCCCCGGTAGTC